CACAGTCACTGTTCCTATCTCTGTCCTCCCTTCCTCCTGTATATAGGAAACACATCTCATGTTTGTCCACTCACCCAAGTACCTGGTGTGTGCCTGAGTGGACACAGAAGGAATATTTGCAAGGTGAATAAAGGAAGGAATAAAAGTTAATTTCAAATGCAGTTTATGATCAAGGTAACATGTCAAATCAGTTGATTAAAAGTATTTTGTTCAATAGATGATGTTGGAATGACTGGTCTTGTGGGGAAAATTGAATTTCCTACACTATACTCCACACAGAAATAAACTGCAGATGGCTCAGAAATTTAATGTAAAAAAATAAAACCATAAAAGTACTAGAAGGAATCTTGGGTGGGGACAGCCTTTCTAAGTAAGTCATGAAAACCAGAAACTATAAAAAAACAGAGAAATTAAAAACTTCTGCCCCTGGCTGGCATAGCTCAGTGGATCGAGCTCGGGCTGCAAACCAAAGTGTCACAGGTTCGATTCCCAGTCAGGGTACATGCCTGGGTTGCAGGCCATGACCCCCAGCAACCGCACATTGATGTTTCTCTCTCTCTCTCTCTCTCTCTCTCCCCCTCCCTCCCTCCCTTCCTTCCCTCTCTAAATAAATAAATAAAATCTTTAAAACAAAACAAAACAAAAAAAACTTCTGTATGGCACCATAACTGTTATTAGGCAAATGACAAATGAGGAGTTATCTGTACCACATATGACAGCCAAAGGCTTAATCTTCCTAAAATAAAAAAGGGCTCCTATCAAAGCAAGCAATAGGAAAATGGGGGCAAAGAAGGGATCAGACAATTCACAAAGGAAGACTTGCTGAAGTCCATTAACATATGAAGGAAATGCTATTATTCCCACCCCTCCATCAGATATGCAACAATTAAAATGGATTTGCAAAACCTGGGTTACTTGGGGTGTGGGAAAATGGTTACTCCCATGCCCCAGGAGCCATAGAGGTGCGAGTTGACCTTTCTGGGATGGGGAAATAAGTAACAAAATGAACAATGAGGACTTCTTTTGATTCAGCAATACTGACACTTAAAATTATTTTATTATCTGATATATAAATGATACATGTGTATAGTATGTAAAATGTAATGCACATAAACATCTACCCACCAGTCAGCACCATTATCTATGCCTTCCAGCTTCAGTCCTGGTTCTCCAGATGAGCTGTACTGGCTTGGAATGAAAGGTCAACTTCTTTGCTTGTGCCCTTGATCCCATTTCTTGCCATCTACTCAGGGACATCAGGCTAATATTTCTCCCTTTACCTTGAGTCATCAAGGATTTCCTCTTGGCTAGATCCTTCTATAATTCTTCCCACCATAAAAAGCTTTTTCTTGATCCCATTTTCCCTTCCAGCTACTCTCCATTTATTTCCCTTCTACCCTTCCCCGTAATGATCCTGAAGAAAATTATCTACACTCCGTGTCTCTGATTTCTCTTCTTTCTTTCTATCTCTTCCAGCACTCCACAGAAATGGCTCTTGCCAATGCCACCAGTGCTCTGCATGTTGTTAAATCCAATGATTAGTTTTCAGGACATGTCAGCAGCATTTCACATAAGAAACACTCCTGGAAACACTTTGCCCTTGGCTTCCAGGACACCTCACTCTTCTGCCTTCCCTCCTACCTCACTGGCTCCTTTTAAGTCTCCTTTGGCCTCTTCTCATTGTCTCTACCTCATACAACCTCTTAGGACCTGGGAGTACCTCCTAGGACCTGGGACTCAGCCTTTGGAACTCTTTGCCATGATACTTATTTCCATGGTGATTTCTAGCCATCTCACATCTTTAAATACCATCTGAAGGCTGGTGACTCCCAAATTACATCTCCAACTCAGGCCTTTCCCCTGAATTCCAGATTCCTATATCCCAAGGCCTATTCAATATCTACATTTGCATACCTACTAGGCATTATACTAGGTGTCCCAAACCAAAGTCCTTATCATTCCCTTCTAAACCCATTCTTCCTGTAGCTGTCCCCACCAAAGTTGATAGCCACATATCCTTCTAAGTGCTTGGGCCAAAAACCTTGGTGTGATCCCTGACTCTACTTTTTCTCACTCCTCACATCCTACTGTTAGGAAACCCTCTAGCCCCACCTTCCCAATAGATCCAGAAATCTCCCCATTTCTCCCCAGCTCCACTATTTGGTGAATTTGTAGTTGTTTTGTTGTTAACAACGCTGCTTTGAAAATTCTTGTACACATCTCCTGGCCACATAGGCAAATAATTCTCTAGACAAATTGTTCTCCAATTTTGGTGGGCATCAGAATCCTCTGGAGGGCTTGTTATACTGCTGGACCTTACTCACAGAGTTCATGACTTGTTTAGGAATCATTTGCATTTCTAACAAGATCCCAGCTGATGCTGATGCTACTCATGGGGAAATAACTCTTGGAAATCCACAGGTCTAGCGGTAGGTTATACCCAGAAGCAGAAAAATGGGCTTATAGGATATGTGCATGTTCAACCTGATAACAGAACATTGATTTTCTTCCCTGTCAGCAATGTGTGAGAATGCCCAGTGCTCCTCATCCTTGTCAATATTTGATGTTGTCAGATGTGCTACTCTTGCCAATGCAGTGGATACAAAGTGTTAGCTCATTGCAGTTTTGAGTTGTATTATTAGAATTTATGCTTAGGTGGCAACAGCATTCGGTGGGTGAGAAACATAAGTAGTGGTATGCTCATTGCAATGATTTTTTTTTGTTAGAAATAGGTAATAGTCTGTGTTTTTATCAATTGGTATGTTCAAAATTTACAACAGGGTAATATGCAGCTGATCAAGATGATAATTATAGGTCTCTAGTTATGAACATTAAAAATGCCTGTAATATATTGTTAAACAAGAGGGGGAAGTAATGTACATAAGATGGGGTTTGAGTTACCTTTACTTTCTGTTTTTAATATTTTCTATGTTTCATTTTTTTAATGTATGTAGCTCTTTTTGTGAAAAAAAAGTGATTTTCAAACAAATACAACCTTATATTTGTGTTTGTATATGCTAGAAAGTATCTGAAGGGTTTCATATGATACTGACTTGAGCAACTGAGGCTAGGCAGTGGGTTTGTGTGGGCTGAGTGGAAAGGCACTTGGAGTTTTCTCTTTATTCCATTCTGTACTCTTTGAATTTTTTTTATAAAGTCTTTTTTTAAGATTTTATTTATTTACTTTTAGAGAGGGAAGGGAGGGAGAAAGCGAGAGAGAGAGAAACATCAATGTGCAGTTGCTGAGGGCTGTGGCCTGCAACCCAGGCATGTGCCCTGACTGGGAATCGAACCTGCGATGCTTTGGTTCGCAGCCCATGCTCAATCCACTGAGCTACGCCAGCCAGGGCTACTCTTTGAATTTTTATGACAATATCACTTTCATAATAAAAAAACACACACTAAAAAAAAAGAGCTATTCTTAACGCCCAAGCCAACCCTGTCAACCCTTGACAGCCCCTACCACTGCTGGCCCAGCTCGACCCACCAACTCATGCTGAGGCCCCTGCTGACTTCACAAGCAGCCCACTCAAGTCGTGCCAGACCACCTCTGGCTGAGGAGCTTTGGAGCTACAGAGCCAGGGCCAGTAGTTGGGCTGCCCAGGAAGGAGCTCTTTCTGTTTCTGGGTGCTGTCTTGAGCCCAAGGGTAATGTGTCACCCCCATAGAGCCTGCAGCTGTGGGCTCCCCCACATTATGTGCTGGAAGGAGAGGTCAGGCCCCCCAAGGGGCCCAGAGAGAAGTCACTAACACTGGCAAGGAGAGGACTGACTATCAGAGGCAGCAAACTCCAATAACAAACCTGTGTTTCTAACAAAGCAGTTGAAGTCTGTAAAGGTCAGATCTAAGAAGTAATGTCTGCAAAATGTAGAGATGAAACATAGAGGTGAATGTGAACTCATCTACAATATACTTGTATAGCAGAATCTGGGGTCACCTCAAATTGAGAAAGAATTAATTTGATCTAAAACAGAGACTTTATGCCCTGGCTGGTGTGGCTCAGTGGACTTAGTGCCAGCCTGAACCAAAGAAAGGGCCATTGATTCCATTCCCAGTCAGGGCACATGCCTGGGTTGCAGGCCAGGTCCCCAGTAGGGGGCACATGAGAGGCAACCACATATTGATGTTTCCCTTTCTTTCTCCCTCCCTTCCCCTCTAAAAATAAATAAATAATGTCTTTAAAAATAAAAAAAAAATAAATAAAACAGAGACTTTACACAGCAGGGACTGGATGCACATGGAACTGTCTACAGTTGTACTCTTTTTTGAAGGCTATCTTCCTTGAAGGTGAGCTTTCTCTTCACTGTAGCCCCTCTGAGGTATTGGTGACTGCCACGTCAACATATGTGCTCCCTTCACAGAGTACATCATGTGGTCATCATGTGGTTTTCCTCTGTCTGCCTCACAGCCTGTGACCTCTAGAATGCAGAAACCAGCTCCCATTTCTGCCCTGCCTCTTTGTAACAGGCATGGATCCTGGCACATTCTTTGCACTCAGTAAATACTGAAGTAATGGAATGGGATAATCCCCAGTATAGAAGGAAAACAGAGATGACATTTTCAAATGTCAAGGTTTCATAACTCAAAACAGAGGGCGACAAATGGGTGTCCCCCAGCATCACTGTCCTCTCTGCATTGGCCCAGCATGTCCATCAAGGAGGTGGCACACAGGGCTCACATTGCTTGCTGGGTTCTAGTCCAAGACAACATCCATGGACAAATGAGTCCCTCCTCAAAGAGAAACTTGGAGGTGACAATCTCTTGAATATATACTTCCTCTTCAATAAAACAACTACACAAAACACAAACTGAAACCTGGTGGTGGGACTTCATAGTACAACCCCACCCCTCACACAGAACTCATTACACCATGGATGGCAGGGGAACCAGCCATTAGCTGTCCTTGCATAATTACTGTATTTGGGCTGTCAACATTTGTGTGAAAATAATATTTATTCACAAGTAGAAACCCAGTAAATACATGGTGTTTTCTTTTTTTCAATTTGTTTCCCCTGACAGAATACAAGACACTCAGTTTGCTTGAGTTTTAAAAGGATATTTCCTTTGCCCCACTTGAATCACCATAAAGACCTAAGTCCAATTGGCAAAGTAAAAGGGCGGGGGGATGTGCTGTTTTTTAAAAAAAGGTTAAACTGTGCTTTTTAAATTTACATTTTAAAAGTCAAAATTATCCCCAAACCCAAATTATATAAAATTGTATGAAGTCACCCAGAAGGTATTCCCTGAACTTCAGACTTTGTCCCTCTTCTTATGATATAGGACAGAGAGAAATGACACTTGGAGGCAGGCTTCAGGTAGCTCGCGTGCATGCCCCAGATGCCTGTCTTGTGCCAGGCTCAAGTCCTAGGTGGCTATGTTTGGTAGGGGAGACAAAAATGCCCAAGAGACTTAACAAGTCACTGAGTCCTGAGGGGAGAACTAGTGTCACAGGGAGGAGGAGCCACTGAGATGGAGTGGGAGCCAGTGGGGATAGGGTAGAGGGAAATTGGGAGAAGATTGAAAGAGATAGTCTGCAAAGAATAAACTGGAGGGGAACCTGGATATGGCAGAGACTATACCCATTTAGAGGGGATTTCCATTCTTCCTTGAGCTTCAGGTCTAAAGGAAGGAGGAGGCAAAAGTGTAAGGCAAATCATGTTCTCCTGGGGTGGTTGAGCACTTGTTCAGGTCACAGATCTTGGCCCCCGGCTGTGGCCACAGGGGACATGAACTGCTCTGTCAATGACTGCAAAAAGGAGGGAGAGAAGAAGAGAGGGAAGGAAGGAGGAAATTTGTTGTCATGGAAAAACCACCATCAGATCAATGCTTTTTGTAGCTTATCCCTACATGTAAAAGTTGAGCTCACAGTTTTTAACCCAAGACAAATGTCTTTATTTCTTTTTTTTTTAAAGATTGTATTTATTTATGTTTAGAGAGAAGGTGGGAGGGAGAAATAGAGGGAGAAAAACATCAATGTGTGGTTGCCTCTCACATGCACCCTACTGGGGACCTGGCCCACAACCCAGGCATGTGCCCTGACTGGGAATCGAACCTGCAACCCTTTGGTTCTCGGGCCAGCACTCAATCCACTGAGCCACACCAGCCAGGGCAAATGTCTTTATTTCTTTATTATATTTCCCCAGGGAAAAAGGTAGAGGTGGAGGGGAGAGGGTCAGCATGTGCTTTAAAATATGCTTTAAAATGGAGATAAGAAGCTCAAATGCCGTAAGCCAACTATAAAAGAGGGGGCCTCCTACTCCATGAGCTTGGGAAGGAGGGGAAGAGGTCAGGAAAATGGCATGGGTGGGGTCCTTCTCTATGAAGTCAAGATTCCACATCAAGCTAAGTAAACATGGAGTCACATTTGTCCATCTTCTATTAGCTCATCTTGTGGCCACTTTGATGTAGGTTGGGTTATACTTTCATCTCCTTTTTCCCTGGCTTCCATTCCCAGCTTCAACAAGAGAGGCCTCCACCAGCCCTTTCCTCCCTCAGTTTGAAGGGGTTAAAATATTTCACCCATCCAAAGAAAGAAGGTGGCAATTCAGACTTCAAAGCAGCCTTATAAGGTAAATACTATGATGATTCCCACTTTACAGATAAGGAGACTGAAGCTCACAATAACACAGCCAGCAAGTGATACATTTGACCCTGGCTGTCTCACTCCAGAGCCTGAACTCCTAACTTCCATGTCTATTACCTCACTGGATTCAGCATGCTCAATTAGCCATTTACATGCAGAATCAGGAACCAAGGGGCATTTATGAGAGTCATGCTATTCATACAAATAGTAAGGCTAATATTTATTGATGGGTTACTGTGTGCCAGGCACAATACCAAGTGCCTCAGTTAGTGAATATCTTAGGAAAACCCTCTGGGTGTTTAGCCCCCTTTTTGTTCTGTAACATTTCTTCTTTTGGTCAAAATTAAATTATTGGAATCCTGTAGGCTTTAAATATAAGAGACATTGATGCAACTTGCCATTTATGCCAGAGTTTAAACATCTGTGCAAGATGCCACATTTCAAAAAGAAATATGTGATTGGCTTTTATCAGCATATTTCTAAACAAATCAGGGGACAACTTGCATTTGGGTAGTCTGACTTTGAATATCTGACTGCTCACAAAGACAGTGAACACTATAGCTCACCAGACCCTGCAGGAAATGCTCCATGGCTCTCTGTTTTTGATGAGGGGGCAGGAGGAGATTATGGCTTAGCTTCCACCGAGCCCCCCTGACAGAAGTGTTGCATCTTCTGGGAACGATTAAGGCACAGCTGGCCCCCTGGACTCCAGACTGCCCAAATAAATCCACCATTGTTTCCCAGAGGTCATCAACACATTTGGGGCCCTACCTGGAAGACATAAAAGCAGTGACCCTTTCCTCCTCTATAGGCCAGAATTCTACAGTGGTCAAGATGATGACATTGAATCTCAGAGCCATGAGGTCAGTTGCCCAAGGCAACACAGTTGAGGAGTGGCTGAGCTGGGACAGCCATCCAAAGCAGCCAGAGCCTTTCAGGAAAGTAACTAGCTTGTGCCTGGGAGACACAGCTACTTGGCTCTCAAAGCCCTAGAAGGGAGGAGAGTCTGGGATAACCTTTGAAACATACACATGCTCAGGTTCCTCCTGCAGAACTCCTGATTCTCAGCTTAGCAATGAGGTCCAATGATTCACATCTTTAACAGATGTCCCCAGAAACTCAGGTTTGCTGCAGATTGAGGACTGTGACTCCTGAGTGAGGTGGGGATTTTCAGGGGACGAATGCAGGGATGGAGTTGAAACAGTCATGAGGCCAAAAATCTTCCTCAGCTCAGATTCTCAGCCTTGGGTCCTGTAGCATGAAAGTGTCAAAGATACCCAGGATATAAAGATAACCAAAGGATGTACACATTGACTAAAAATGTGTCTCACTAGAGAGTTTGACTGTCAGTGTGCTGCTGTTATCAAATTGAATTTCACCATTTACATTAATACCATTAGCCTTGTGAGACTGGGTTTGCGATTGCACACCTGCACCTATACCCTTGATCCTGATATCAGATCCTTTGCTTATGGTCACTTGGCTAATATTTTGTTAATTTTTTTGTTTTGCTTCTTTTTGCATTTATGCTTATCAGTGGGATTAGTCTGTCATTTTTCTTTTCCATTCTGTTCCTATTAGGGAGCCTTCCTTATTTTCCTATTCTCTACAGAGCATTCTTTTTGTAAGATTGGAATCTTTTCCTTGAATGTTGGTGGAATTTACTTCTGAAATCATCTAGGCCCGTAAGTTTTATTTGGGGTGAGGAGTATCAGTCAGAGTTCAACCAGAGAAACAGAATCAGTAGGAGATATATAAAGAGATTTATTGCCAGGAGCTGGATTACATGATGGTGGGGGCTGGCTAGGAAACCCAAAATATATAGCACTGGCTGTGAGGAAGGGCAGGCTGGAACCCTCTGTCAGGAGCTGAAGCTGCTGTCCACAGGAAGAATTTCTTCATCAAGAAAGCCTCAGCTACACTGTTAAGTCCTTTCAATGAATTGAATCAGGCCCAGCTAAATTATCCAGGATAATTTCCCTTAAAGTCAAATTATTATGTGCTTTAACCCCATCTATAAAATAGCTTCATTGCCACACCTAGAGGAGTGTTTCACGGAGTAACTGGGAACTGTAGCCTAGTGAAGTTGGCAGATAAAATTGACCATCATGAGGTGGTGGGGAGGACTTTTAATTGCTGATTGAATTTTTACTTTGTATTTACTAATTTTTAAAAATACTTTATTTTTAAAAAGATTATATTTATTAATTTTTAGAGAGAGGGGAAGGGAAGGAGAAAGAGAGGGAGAGAAACATCAATATGTGGTTGCCTCTCACGTACCCCCTACTGGGGACCTGGCCTGCAACCCAGGCATGTGCCCTGACTAGGAATCGAACTAGTGACCCTTTGGTTTGCAGTCTGGCTCTCAATCCACTGAACCACACCAGCCAGGGATAATTTTAAAGTGTTCTTGTCAAACAATAAATAGTATTTTCTCTTTTTCATTAATTTCTGTCCTTACCTTCATTCATTCATTCTTTCTTTGGGTTTATTACTCCTTTTTTTTTCTAAGTTCTTGAGAGGGATATACTTAGCTCATTAATTTTAGCCTTTTCTCTTTTTTGACCACACACATTTATGGCTAAAATTTCCCTCTAAGCATGATCTTGAGTGTATCCTACAAGTTTTGATATGTAGTATTTTCCTTATTAAAATATTCAAAATATTTTTTACTCTCCATTATGATTTTTGACATAGAGTTATTTGGAAGCATGTTGCTTAATTTCCAACATGCCAAGATTCTCCAGCTATCTTGTTGCTATCAATTTATAGCTTAATTTCATTGTTGTCAGAGGGTATCCTCTAATATGGGTGTCCAAACTGTGGCCTGTGGGCTGCATGTGGCTCAGGATGGCTGTGAATGCAGCCCAACACAAAATTGTAAATTTACTTAAAACATTATGAGACTTTTTTGTGATCATGTGTTGCAATGCATTTAATGTGTGGCACAAGACAACTCTTCTTCTTCCAGTGTGGCCCAGAGACACCAAAAGGTTAGACACCCCTGCATGATTTCAGTCCTGTTCTCTGTCAATATTTTTGAATTTTTCATTCATTTTCTTGAACATTGCAAATGTACCTCTTTTATAATATGTGTCTGATAGGGAATGATGTTTAGGAGGCACCTGCCATGGGTGAGCTTTGGAATGTGGGTGAGAACTGAACTGGGGAAGATATTACATGTCTCTCTAAAGAGCTAGGCCATGTTGTTGGAGGTCAGTATTTCCTGCTCTTTAGTCACTGGCATTCTATTTACCCCATTTTTTCCCATGTCCAAGTACTACATATACAATGTGTTACTTAAATTGACTCTTTAAAATTCACATACTTTTACATAAAAGGTAAGCTTGATGTTACTATTATAAATGGAAAACTAGTGTCACTTGTCATAGATAGAAGGTAGCCATAAAAACATTACTATAAGAAGGAAATAATATGACATATTATTTAAAATATTGTTGCCTAATGAATGCTTTAAAGCTCAGGCCTGCTCTCTTACTGTTAAAGTAGAAGGTTTAACAAGCAAGTATTTGAGAATCT